TCTAAATTTTACAATATATAAAAGTCATATAATTATTATACATAAAATTTATCAATATATAAAATTTATATAAAAATTTTATTTAGATATTATGACATATAAAAGTTACTTAAATATAATACATAAATTTTATAAATATATAACGTTTATATAATCTTTTTTTATAAAATTATATTTATATAAGTTTAAATAAGTTTTTATATAAATTCTATATTAAATAATATATAAAAATTAATATATATAATTTTTATATAGTATTCTATATAATATCTACATAAAGTTGTAGACCTATGTAGATTTTATAAAAAAATGAACTTGCTGATGGTATGCCATTTTTTATTAACTTCGAAATAGCTATTATTTAGATCTATTTTTAGTAAAGCCCCTAGCAAAAATATATTACTTTGTTGAATTTGTTATGCAGTATTAAACTTTATTGTTAAATTATTATACTCGGAGATTTACATGAATTATCATATTCAGGAGCTTGGCAAGAAGACAATTAAAAATATAATTTCTGAAGTATGCTGTTTTTTCGTTAATCTCCTTTATTTAGGATTTATTTTTAGAACAAACTCCTAGCAAAGATCCCATATTGCTTCGTTAAATTTATTTTGTAGTGATATGTTTTATTATGTTATTGGTATTTCTTTTAGATAACAAGGCCAGCCCCATCTCGAATCCCAAATAATGCAGCAAAGTCAACCCAATTTGATGATATTTTTAAAATAAATTATTTCTATTGAGTCGTGCTCATTGCATCAATTCAATCAGAATTCTTACTAAGCCTTACTAAACTGTGCTTGTTGCATAAGGTTTTAATATTCAAATTATAGTTGCTTGACGAAACTATGTGATGCTAATTATCACACAGCCACATAATAATATTAGTGCTATTTACATATGAATTCACGTGTTACTATTCATGGCTGTGTGATGATTAGCATTAGGGTTCGGAATGGGCCGGCCCATTCCGAACCCTAATTAGCATCATATAGTTTCGTCAAGCAACTATAACTATAATAGTATGGTCTAGTTAAAATAGTATGTTTTACCGTTTCTTTAGCATTTTCTTTGATTCTTCAGCTTTTTCTTGCTTTTGAATATCAGATATCAAGTGAAGTGTCTCATAGGGCATGATAATTTGCACTAAAAAAAGGTTTATTTCTATTTTGCATCTCTCGGTCATATTTTTAACTCAATTATACTGTGCAAGATCAAGAGCATCTGTAGATATAATTTATAATTAAGCGTGAGAAAAAATAATTTTTAATGAAGCGTGAGAAAAAATAAAATGACAAGCTATAAATAGTTGATTTTCATTGAAACAATACGATATAAGTTAAAAAAATTATCGATATTAAAAATTTTACTAAAAAAGGTAAGAATCAAAAATTGTTCTAAGGATGATTGGTCGGAACAACTAGAGCCAGATATGCATGGAATAGTGGCATGGAATATTAATATTAGTATGGAGCACTTGTTTATACCACATCAAGAGATGTCGATTGACATATTGAAAAAGAGAGATTAGCAAGAATGTGAAACGTTTCAAATAAAAAAAAATAAAATCTAATTATTCCATTTTTGTTAATTCTTATCATCGTGATTAGATCTAAGACACGAACAATCAAGAGCGCATATAAAAAAACCTTTTTTTTTTATTATATAAATACGAAATTGGGCATGGTTCTGGAGAATTCTTTTTGATAATGATTGAAATATCTCTTATTTATATTATTAGCCATTTATCCGGCTGAGCTGTTTCAGTAATTTCTGTAGGTAGATTCACTGCTTTTTTTTCAAAAGTCTTTTGCATTTTTGTTTATACCTTTCGCCAAAAGCATCTCAGATTAAACTTTATTAATTGACATATAAGATTACTGATTATTATCAATAGGCGTGGCCAATTATACAGTATTTATTGCGTATTTAATGAATTAGCTATTGGCTGAGATGCTCGAAATGCTATAACTGCACTGATTTTATTTATAAACTCGAAACTTCCACATGGAATTTCTCTATATCTCATATAAGATTTCTCTGTACGCAATAACTAAAAATAATATAAGTGCACAAGAATGCATTACGGGAATGGTCGATTAAAATAAATGGACATAGCATACACGTGACCATATCTGAGATGAAGCTATTGTCTTTAACGTTTTTAAAATGAATAACTGCATCAGTAACGTAGAGCTCTATCACGAAGTTGTTTTTTTATAAAATCTACATAGCTCTATCAAGTTACATAAATGTTATATAAAATTTTTATTTAGACTTACAAACCCAATGTAGACTTACATAGTTAGAATTTTTATGTATGACTTAATATAATATTTATATAAATTTTATTTATTATTTATATAATATAAAAATTATATAAATTCTATTTATATCTATATAAAAATAAATTAATTTACTTTGGCTATTTCTCAAAAACGGCTAAGGTAATCAATGTTCGATATACTAAGTAAAAATGTTCAGCGGGCCAGAAAACACTCCCCAAGCCCTAATTTAAGCTTTAAAATCTATTTCTTGCTTTAATATTTAAGTTGAAATTTTTTTGAAATTTTACATAATTCTACATAGAAATATATATAGATTTATATAAATAGCTATGTAAAATCTACATTGGGTTTATAAAGCTACATAGAAATTTTACTACATAACTCTACATAAAAACAACTTCGTGATGTCATAATATTTTGCCAAAATGTAAAATTAAATATTGATCTAAGTTTACTAAACTTCGAAAAATATAATCGGCAGAACTATATTTTACGAAGTTGACAATTTGCATATTGATATTCGGACTTAAGAAACTTGATTGACGAATACTTTACTCCATTGCGATTTATGAACTCGAATATAGACTCGATTACGATAAGCACTGTTATATCTTTATATTTTCTGCGCCATTTTTGAGTTTAAAACTTATTTAAATCCTGAAGTTTCGACCATTTTATTTTCATATAGCGTTTTGATCTTGACATTTATATTATACTATTTATTTATTTATTTATTGTATTGTCACACATATCTGACGATAGGATCACGATTTGAGGGAGTTTGACTATAACAGTATAATATTCATTTACAAGCAAAAATGTCATCATTCCTAGAATTTATTCCACACTATGTATTAGTTTGCTTACCAGCCATTGCAATAATAGGAGCAGCACCATTTAGTGGTCTAAAAATGAAGATATTTTGGATGCTTCATTGTCTTGGATGTCCATTTACGGGGTTGATTTACTACTGTAACGTAGAGAATAACGAAACGGCACTATGCACATACTGGCTTACTTCTGATCATTATGTGATAAATATAGAAAAAAGCGAAAATGAGAAAAATGAAGAGGATCCACTCGAAAGTCAAGTTCCTATAAATAATAACAAAACAAGTAAAGAAAAAAACCCCCCGGGATCCACCCCCCATATAGGCCCTTTGGGCATCATTCTATGGTAATCGAGCCTACTATCAATCAAATTAATGCCATGAATCAATGCATAGCAGAACCATCTATACAAGAGAGAATCGCGCCATTGGGACTAGCTATCCCTATAGTTATTGGAATATATACGGCGATAGCCAGAGCAATAGGACCATGTACCAATAAAGATTGGGCATATTTTCCAGTTGCATTTGCTTGGACATTGCCAGCAATTCTTAGAATAGTATTTGGAAGGAAGATAGTATTTAAAGATCCCATACAAATTTTAGGAAAAGACAAGATACGCGTAAGAAAATATTCAAGAACTGAATTGGACTACAAAAATAACAAAACTGCCCATGCTATTATTACTGCTTTCGCATCAGTAACACTTCATTGGATAGTAGTAATTTTAGCATACTTTACTCCTCCAATCGGATTTGGTTGCCGGAGCAAATTTCTCACGGTGTTGTGTTCTATATGGTCATTTAATAGTAGTATTGCATATTTATTTCACAAGTTTCAAGGTGAAAAAAGCGTTAGTGGTAATAAATATATTCATGGTTGGTTTTGTACTTGTGGCGGAATTATAATGATTTATTTGGGTGCACTCGTCATGTTAAGCAGTTCGCCATCATTGTGGATATACTTGTTCGGAACAATTTGCGATATTTCAAGCACATGTAACATTTGATTATCACATATTATTTATTTTATTATTATTATCCTGATACTATTGTTACGGTTAGGATGTCAATTACTTGTTTCGAGGCCTAATTATTGATATTGATCGATTTTCTTTATACCATTTTTCTATCATATTGTTATAGTATATATATTCTTATTTGTTTATTAATTCTTTTTAAGGTAGTCGTCATAGTTAGTTGCCTAATTTAGGGTCCGCTAAAGGGGGTAAATTCAATATACTGATCTACACATATGGGCGGAAATTTTTAGTAGAGTGCTGTGACTATATAAAATTAGGTTATTATACTCATAAAAACTGATAAGTAACGGATCAATTTTGGATCATTCTGGTTTTTTTTAGCTAATCTATTCGGTATACTGCTCATAAAAACTGATAAGTAACTGATAAGTTACTCATAAGCAGTTTTACAATCACCGACAAATAATCACTTTTAATATTAGTAATCACACTGTATCATATATATTATT